TCAAGTTGGAAAAAAATGGTGTTAAAGGAAATAAGCAGGATAAAGGTCAATAGGGAGAAAACGTCTTTCTTGCACTGGGTTGAAGTGTCCCCTCAAAATTCTTATCTACGGGAGACTCAGAATGTGACCTTATTTGGAAATAATCTTTGCAGATATAATTAAACTGAGATGAGGTCACATCGCATTAAGCCAACAAGTAGTACCTTTTTAAAGTTATTTATTTTTTTTGAGAAGGAGTCTCACTCTGTTGCCCAGGCTGGAATACAGTGGTGCAATCTCAGCTCACTGTGATCTCTGCCTCTGGGGTTCAGGTGATTCTTGTGTCTCACCCTCCCGAATAGCTGGGATTACAGGCATGCACCATCACGCCTGGCTAACTTTTGTATTTTTAATAGAGATGGGGTTTCACCATGTTGGCCAGGTTGGTCTCGAACTCCTGACCTCAAGTGATCTGCCCACCTCAGCCTTCCAAAGTGCTGGGATTATAGGCGTGAGCCACAATGCCTGGCCACTAGTAGCATCTTTATAAGAAAAGAAAATAGGCACACGGAAGACTTAAGAGAGGAGAATGCTGGAGACCACCATGTGAAGCCGCAGAGGCAGGAGTGTAGAACACCATGTGATATTGGAGGCGAGGAATGCCGAGACTGTGGGCAAACACCAGAAGTGACACAGGGATGAGATGGTTGCTCCCAAGAGCCTCCAGAAGGTACCGACCCTACTGACACATTGATTTCAGACTTCCAGCCTCCAGAACTGTAATACAATAAATTTCTGTTGTTTTAAGCCACCCAGTTTGTGATACTGTTTTGGCAGCCTAAGAAACTCATCCACCCCTCCACCAGTTCCCCAGATCTTATGATCCAACTGCCGTCACCCACACATCTTGGAAGAGTTGCCTTTTCCTTGTGGACCACCCAGTGGCTGAGCGCCACTTCCCATTTGGCTGTCCTGTAACCCTGCATCTAGACATGAGCAAGGCTGTGGAAATTTGCACACGGAGCTGAGCTGGGGTGTTTCAAAGTTTTGGGCTTCAAAAGCATAGCGAGCTTTGTCAAAACTGCAGTGTCCTGGTTGAGAAGAAGCAAGCCTCAAATTTTGCTGGGAATCAAGACTGGAACACGTGATGTTACCCAACAGCTGCACGGTGAGATGCCAAGAGGCCATGAGGACTGTAAGGGCTCAACCAGCTTTTGGTTGATTAAATTAAGAGGGCTGGAAAAATTATATATGAAGTTGTCTCCCAGATTTCCATAATCTGCTATGTCACCTGGAGCCTTTGTAAAGCTGTTGTATGGGAAAGGCTGGGAGGGGCCATGAGGTCCTGTGTAGCTGGCCTGAATGCTGTTGGCTACTTTGAGCGTGCGGCTCTGGGAAGGAGTGCATTTCAGAGCCAAGGGTGGGCTCCCCTGGCATGAACCCTTATTGGCTCTTGTAGCGCCTAACACTTCGTAGCTTATTGTGGTTTGTAATCGCATATTTAAGTGATTATTTTGTCTGGAAGGATCCTTATCTGTTTTGCCAAAAATCCCCAGCAGGACAGGGATTAAGATGTTTTTGCTCCCAGTTGTGTCTGCAGTGCATAGCACAGTGCCTAGATTGCAATAGGCACTTACAAATATTTACTAACTGAAGTGAGATGTATAAATACAGGTTAAATTCAGGACACTAAATGCACCCTGCTAAGGATGGCTAAAGTCCCTTAGAAATAAGCTCCCATTTTATCGTATCACTACACTTCCCATATGTTCCAATTAGCAAAAATTTCCCTTCTCTTATCTTTACATAGAAGACTTTAGCTACCAACTCATGAGAGTTCTTCCCTCCAACATTATTTTTAAGGTAGTCAACTTTCCCCCCACCCTAAAAGGAAATTTTTTCTTTTTAAAAATCCGCTTTATTCAAAAAGAGGCAGGCTGGTTCCTGGGGTTTCTGCCCTTCTAGGGGAAAGTGCCACATTTAATACAACTTATTTTTTTAGGGATGGGGTCTTGCTATGTTGCTCAGACTGGCCTTGAAGTCCTGGGCTCAAGTGATCCTCTCGCTCCAGTGTCTGGGACTACAGGCATGAGCCACGGCATCCCCCAGAGGAAATCCTACGTGGAATTCTAATCCAAAACAGACAACTAGTTGAACACTGAGTCACTGTGAGTGCAGCGCTCGAGGCAGGGAGCACTCAGTCTTCACAAGCCTCTCATTTGTGAGCTCCTAAGGCAGCTCCAACGAGCGTCTAGAAGGTTCTTGGTTTGAAAATCTCACCCTGGGAATCTCAGCTCGGGAACTGGATCTCTGAGACCCACACTCAGTGGTACCGGGGCCTTCAGACCTTGATTCAGATTCAGATGCTCTGACCACACCCAGACCTCAGGAGGTGGCTGACCCAGATTCCAGATTCCAGCTCTCAAGAGAAATGCACCTCTCCATCTCCTTGTTAACTGGGTAAAAAGATGACTTGCTTCACAAAACCAGGTGTCAGGACAAAACACAGTAGAGCCATGTACGAAAAATAACTTTGTTATTAAGCATATACAATCATATCAAAAGTACGTCATAGTATCACATCCACAATGGTTTGAATGCTAGCTTGACTGTTATATGGACCTGTTACAAACAATGAACAACAGAGCTACTCCATCCAGTACATGACTAGTCCCTGTGAAATAAAAACAGACCCCTGGCACACATGAAATTCCTAAGGGGACTTGCTTTGATCCCCTGGGGAATAAGAGGGTCCTTTTCTATGATTTCCCACATTTGTTGAGGGAGCATGTGAAGTTCATGATTATACGCCTTAACAATCACAGTCATGGTGTGTTTTGTTTTCCAAATGGAAAATTATTTTTTGACTTGCTGTAAGATATAAATATTGACTGTGCCAGGAAAAAATTCATCTATTTCCCTGAACTCATTATTAATAACTTTAGATGGCTCTATTCTACTTGCTGTTTGGCCTGGATTCCTGCAATAACTTTCCTTTTCAGGAAGGTTATCTGAAAGATGTTAAGTCTGCAGACTGAGGCTGCTGTGGTGGTTTCTGAGGCACAGGCTGAGATGTGGGGAGAGACAGTGGGGAGTAACACCCAAAATATGATGGGGGAGTTGCTGCCTGAAAACCCACAGCAATGTCTGGCCTGGGGAAGCCTTCCCTTGCAGCCCTGGGAACAGGGCTCACCAGGCCCACAGTAATTATGAACCTTGGAAAGATGACCGAAGCCAGGGTGCTCTTCACTGGTATTTGGTGGGGTAATACTCCCCTCTCCTTCCTTCCAAAACCAATGAACATTTATTATTTACCTGTTGGGCTGTATAAACTCACACCTGTCTTGAGTTTATACAGTAGAAATGACTTCCTTTGGTCAATAAATCCTAGGCAGATGTTGGGCATTAACTCAGAAGGTGAGAAAAGGCACCATCCTCTCTGCAGCCCCACTCACTTTTGGCACAGTATAGCTTATAATTTCTCCCTCTGGAACTGGGGAGGGAGGGGGTTTTCCTAAACTAAAATGCATGCCCTCCATGTACTATTTTCTTTTTTCTTTTTTTGAGATGGGGTCTCACCCTATCGCCAGGCTGGAATGCAGTGGCGCAATCTTCGCTCACTGCAACCTCCACCTCCTGGGTTCAAGCAATTCTCCTGCCTCAGCCTCCTGAGTAGCTGGGACTACAGGCATGTGCCACCACACCCGGCTAATTTTTTTTGTATTTTAGTAGAGATGGGGTTTCACCATGTAGGTCAGGATGGTCTTGATCTCCTGACCTCATGATCCGCCCGCCTCAGCCTCCCACTGTTGGAATTATAGGCGTGAGCCACTGTGCCTGGCCCCATGTAGTATTCTTAACAGCGTATTTTTTATTCCCATTGCTTTCCAAGAACAGAGGTAACTTAGGAGGTCCTGCGAAGAGGGTGCAAAAATCGAAGTCAACATTTCTACTAATAGGTTGAGGAGGTGTACAAACATCTTTTTCACTATAAAACATGAAATGCACTGTAGCAAATCTTACCCCAGAAATGGCTTTCCCATTAGGTTTTGAGTAGAAGTCCTATTAAACAGTAAAGCTTTTTCTATCTAGCTAAAAGATACATTAGAAATAATGATGCCTTACGATGTCCTATCTTTGAAAAATAAAATTTGGGCATAAAGAGTACACATCAGTCTTGCAGTAGTCCAAGTTTTGAAAATCTGAGGATTAAAAATTATTTTCTAAATTAAGTTGGTCCAGCAGATTGACGTTATAAAATACAGGTTACTGTAAGTTTTGCTGGAGAATATTATCTGGAATAGTTTCATGAAATCCAGATAATACTACTTTCCATTAATTCTTTTAATATATTATTCTAGCCTATGGCCAAACATGCAGTTTGGTTGCATTTTATGAGCATTTCACAATAAAGGTCATATGTCTAAATACAGTTCACTGTCAAAGAAAAGGTATTAAAATTCCTCATTAAAAAAAAAATCACAGACGGACCTAGCCATCTCTCATACAGCTTGTGCATCGTTGTGTGTGTGTGTGTGTGTGTGTGTGTTTTTCAAAAGCATTCACCCATTCACACCCTTTAAATACCATGCTCCACAAGCAGGCAAACATTAAATATATCCAGATGGAAATCAACAGCTGTTCACTTCCTCTCTTTATAAACCCGTGGTTGGCGTGACCTTCTGTCATGAATGTTGAATTTCGCAGAGAGAAGGAGGAAGAAAAGATGCTAGAAAAAGAGCACTAAGAATGTGTTTGCTTTCACTTTAAAAATGCTGGTGGACAGTCACCAGGAATTTTGCATAAATGAGACATAGAGGCGCAAAGTGTTCATCAAAGACTCAGCCACACGCTGACATGAGTCCTGCATTTCCAACATGGTAGGAAGAAGGGAAGGAAGACTGCTGCCACTAGAGATTTGCAAAGCCCCTTCCTATCATTCTTCAGGGAGAAGACTGAAAGGTGGCATTCAAACACAACAGGAGGGATATTCTTTTTTTTTTTTTTTTTTTTTTTTTTATGACAGAGTCTTGCTCTGTTGCCTAGGCTGGAGTGCAGTAGCGCAATCTTGGCTCTGCCCCCGGGTTAAAGCAATTCTCCTGCCTCAGCCTCCTGAGTAGCTGGGATGACAGGCATGCACCACCATGCCCAGCTAATTTTTGTATTTTTAGTAGAGACGGGGTTTCACCATGTTGGTCAGGCTGGTCTCGAACTCCTGACCTTGTGATCTGCCCGCCTCAGCCTCCCAAAGGGCTGGGATTAGAGGCGTGGGCTACCATGCCCAGCCAAGAGGGATTTTCTTTAAGCAAGCTTTCACAGTAGTGGAGTTAAATGATGTGGGCTGAAAGGTGGAGGCAAAAAAGCCAAAAAGAAATAGGAAAGGACGTGGCAGGATGGGAAATTCCAACATGAGCGCATGAGAGTGTGAGAACGATCATTTGTGAAGCTCAATAGAAGAGTGAAAGTCTCCCGCAAAGGCAGATGAACAGCCACTTTGTGTGTCCAATGAGAAAGTGGACTGTGAGTAACTTATAAGCTGCTCATTGGAACCAAGAGGGCCCTCAACAACGTTACAAAGGAGCAGATCATCCTTCTGGTCTCTTGCTCCTGGTGCTTCTGAATGCACAACAAACCTTGGCAGGAACATGCTTCCCTTTGGGACCCAGAGGTGCCCTGAGAAAACACTCTAACTCACTAGGAGGTGGAGAAATAGACCCTTCTCTGAACTGCTTCTCACATGCAGGGGAAAAGAAATCAAAGAGAATGCCTGAAAGAACTGGAACTTGGACTAAATGAAAGAAGGAAAAAATGGGAATAGGAAGGAAGTTTTTGCAAACAAGGAAAACTACTGGTTTTTTTTCTCCCCATCCAAGATAACTTTCAATAGTGTATTATTCTCAATATGTTGGTGGCAAGCTTGGTTGGCTCCAGACAAAAACTTGTAACACCCAAGGAGGGCAAATTTACCTACTGCTGCTGATGGCGTTAGTGAGGTCAACCCAAGCCAGCAACTTCCTTGCGGCCTTCAGCCCCACTGTGTATTGGTTCAGCCTGGATCATGGCACCTAATGGCACCTTCTGGGCACCTGCTCAGAACCAGGAATTCTGTGCCTCTCTCTAAGGTCAGCCACTTTATTGAACAAATAATCTGTGATGTATACAGCAGGCTCCACTCTTGATTAAACAGCTTTAAAATATTCTAGCAAACCAGAGCCCACTGTTTTAATGTGAATCCAGGCATTTCACTTTGTTTTTTGAAAAGAGGATTTAATCTTCTTCCCTAAATAGGATACTTACAGATAAGCATGGCATGAAACCTTAAGCACCATATTTGAATTTTAGAATGTGGCAATCTATGTAACAGTAAATATATGACTGCAATTCTTTTCTATCTTCTCTAAATGTCATTCAGTTCTCTCCTCTCTTTAATTGAATTTGGGAAACGTTTGACAAGGGCAGACAATATTTAAAATCTACTGGAAGCACAAGGAAAAAGAATTCTCCACCAAAGTACATCTACACGTTTGTCCTCTCCACCCCTTGTTAACTGAAGAGCCCTAATTTTGATACTAGAGGAGTTACAGTCTATTCTGAATACACATCTTAGAAGTAGCCTCACATTTTCTTAGAGCTCACTTTGCCATTTTCCCTTTTGATACTCTGCCAAATTTAACTTGAAGAATTTATGATTTAAGACACTGTGAGAGTACCTAAAATCCAAAGTTCCTGGAAAAATAGGACGTAAATGAAAAGTTACAATGCAAACCACTCCAATGAACCCTTAGTAAGAAGCAGGTAAATCAATCATTCACTCCCATGTGTCTGCAGGCCTAGGAGGGGACTCTGAAAATAGTATTGTATCTGGAAGAAGAGGAATAGAGAGATGTCAGGAGAAGAGAAGAGAAAAATGTATGTTTTCTAGGTCTCCAGTGGTGTTTTTTTCTCTTTAGATGGTTTAACTGCAGGTGAGTTGATCTTTCTCTTCCTTTGGCATGACGGTGTTGGGATGTGCTATGGATAGAAGTCTCTGGGGGCTCTCAAGTCTCTTGTCTCAGTTCTTCTTGGGTGGTCGTCTCCAGAGCCCAGGTCCATGGCTTCTGGGTAGCTGGGAAATTCCTGAGGTAAAGGGAACTCCTCTGCTGAAGAGTGAGTCCGGTGCCCGAACACCTTTTCCTGCAGCTCGGTGATGTCATTGCGGATGTCAGCCAGCATAAGTAGCAGGAAGTCGAAAGAACCAGGGGGTCCCTGTGTACATGGGAGGAATCAAAGCTAGAATACGACAGACAGCAATGGCCTCCGGGGCTCCATGACTTGACCTGCTGCTTGCTGGCAACTACTTTCTCAATAACTGTGCCCCAAATAGAGTCAATGTGAGGACTGCTACGGGAGCCTGGGGGTCCTCCACATTGTTTTCTAATTCTGTCACTTCTCAGATGAGCTTTGGTGATGTATTCACCTTTCCTCCCTCCTAACTCTAGGCTTTATCAAATCCAGTAGAGGAAAGAATATAAGACAACTCTCCTAAGTTACTTTCCAAAGCAGTCTGGAAGATGCTTATGAAGGCAGCAGAGCAGTGGTTAAGAGACTGGGGTTCTGTTGGGTTTGAATCTCATCTCTGCTGCTTACTGTGTGGTCTTAATTTCTTGTGGTTCAGTTTCCATATCTGTAAAATGGGGATAATAATAGTCCCAATTTCACAGGGTTTTATAGGGTTCATAAGTGAGGATTTAAATAAGTAAATGCATGTAAAGCGCTTTGAACATAATATGTATTCAAAACATTATCTGGGCCAGGAGTGGTGGCTCACACCTGTAATCCTAGCACTTTGGGGGGCCAAGGTGGACAGATAGCTTGAGCCCAGGAGTTCAAGACCAACCTGGACAACATGGTGAAACCCTGTCTCTACAAAAAATATTAACAAAAATTTAGCCAGGTGTGGTGGTGGGCACCTGTGGACCCAGCTACTTGGGAGGTTAAGGTGGATGATCGCTTGAGCCCAGAAGGTCGAGGCTGCAGTGAGCCGAGATTGTGCCTCTGTACTCCAGCCTGGGTGACAGAGTGAGACCCTGTCTCAAAATTATTAAAATGTTTATAAGATGGCCGACTATAAGCACAAACTAAATGAAGTTGAGAGGATGTTGTAAAGATGTCAACTCCTTATCATCTAGGAAAGGTCCAAACAAAAGCTTCCTAATTTTTCTATGTCTTGAGTATCCTTTATCATCATATAGTATTTACTAAGCCTTAATTTTATAGAGTGCTGTGTGGGGCATGGTAAAAAAGAAATGCATAAACACGCATGTTCTGGGCTTGTCAGAAGTTTGTAGTAAAATCGTTATCACTTCCCACAACTGCTGCAGCAGCAGCGGGCACTATGGAAGCAGAGCTTACACCGTAAAGCACTAAGACAGGCATAGGATTTTCATATCATTTGACCCTCACAATAGCCACTTGAGGGATGGCAGGTCAGATTCCACTATTGCCACTGCACAGGTGGGGGAATGAATGCCCAGAGACCCTCAGTGATGTGCCGTGGTCAGAAAGCTGGCAGGTAGAAGAGTTGAGATGGGAACCCACGACTTCCACCTCTGTGGCCACAGCTTTTGGATTTCAGAAATGATACTTCTTCAGAAGCAGTGAATTGGTTTGAATTTTCTATGCTTCTGAATACTACTATTTCTCATTTTTAATCTCCCAGACACTATGCATATATGCAGCTAATTTCTTCTCAGATCCTAAACAGCCCTGCATGCTTTTGTGCTTTCTAAGAGGAGATGGCCATCTGACCGGCTAGGGTTGTAGCAGTGGCTAAATTCTCAAGTATGCAGAGTTATGATTTAAACCCATAGATTTCTTTCCTAGACCTTTCAAATGTTTTATCATAATACTTGGAAACAGACTCATGGCATAGTAGGGTTTTGAGCTTTAGGAAAGACATTTTAAATGAAGATTAGCCATGATAAAAGAAAAAACAACAACAGAAAACAAGTTTGAAAAATAAATCCAAACTAGCAGCTAAGGTCTTCTATGACTGCCTTCCTAACCACAGAGTTCTGCTCAGGTGGGCTGAGTGGCATCAGGAAGGGGCGGGCCTTTGCTACTAGACCGACCTATAGGCTCATCAGAGCTGCATCCCTGAGAATGTTCCCCTGGGGAAGCAGGACACAGAATGCTACTTACTGGAGACCCTCTGGGCCCAGGCGCTCCTCTCTCCCCCTAAAAACAGAAAGGCCAGGGTTAGCTTTCTCGAGCACATGGATACCACAATAGTCTCTATTTATACACCCACCATAACCACTTCCCTGCACAAAACAACAAATATTTTCTATAGAAAACATATGTAAAACTGAGCTGGACTCACGGGACCACTGATTTGAACAAGATTGCTTGGGTCAAGTGTTTCTCATTCTGATTTCCCTTGAGCCCATATATTTTCAAACCTTCCTGGCAAGAGGAATGTTCGTATTTCCCAGCAGCATGTGCAGTAACAAACTTTCTGAAATATCTCACACTGACTTCTTTGTGAGGCAAAAAAGAGAAGGCGGCTCTCAGAGGGGAACCACCCTGCTTGCAGAAAGAATGGAGCATCTCCTGTTCCTGACTTGAAAATCTCACAGAAATGGAAACACACAAAACGCTATCCTGTAAAGCAACACTGGTTAAAGAGAAAAACACATGTGAGTATCACAATGCAGAGGCTCATTTAAAATTTATAGGGGTCATTTTTCCTATGACTGGTTGTGGTGGTTGTTTTTGTCTTTGGGGTTGGTTTCGGAATTTAAGAAAATGGCTTTTCAGATTTTGTTCCCAGCTTTGGGGAAAAAGTTATATCTGGTATCTGTGTCTCACTTTTGCTGCATGCAAAATGGGGATGGTAAACAGTAACTAGTGAGCTTTCCTCAATGTCAGTGCAAGAGGTAGAAAGTGAGAGATCTTCAGGTCAGGAGCAGTGCCTCACGCCTGTCATACCAGCACTTTGGGAGGCCGAGACGGGCAGATCACCTGAGCTCAGGAATTTAAGGCCAGTCTGGGTAATACGGTGAAACCCCATCTCTACTAAAAAATCCAAAAATTAGCCGGGAGTGGTGGTGCATGCCTGTGGTCCCAGCTATTTGGGAGGCTGAGGCAGGAGAATTGGGCTTGAGCCCGAGAGGCAGAGGTTGTAACGAGCCAAGATTGCGCCACTGCACTCCAGCCTGGGTGACAGAGCAAGACCATCTCAAAAAAAACAAAACAAAACAAAATCGAACGTGAGAGACCTTTAGCTTGTGAGGACCAGTCATAAGGCTTACCTTAGAACCATCTCTTCCTGGTGCACCTGGTGGACCCTACAATACAAAAGGATCTGGTTTAACCACAGGGAAAAGCATGGGACAAAAACACATTTTCCCCCAAACAGGAAGTGGATCTCTGATAAGATACTGACCACAGGGCCCCTCCGGCCTTGTTTAATGTGGGACAGATCAGGAGATGGTCCCATGGGTCCCATTGAGCCCCGTGGACCGGGCTGCCCAGGAGGGCCTGGCATACCGGGGAAGCCTGGGCTTCCCTTTGGTCCTGGTGAGCCTGTAATCAAAGAACACCTCATTAGCTCGCAGCACATGAGAAGGACGAAGGGCCCTGGCTAACAAGAGTCCCGGGCCCCTGCAGTCATTTCTCTTTGTACTCTCTCTGCCTTCGCCTTCTGACATCTGCATCAGGATGTCCCACGGGCATTTTAAAGTTGATATGGTCAAAAGCAGCTTCCCCAACTTCCTCTCTTTTCACAGACTGCCAGTCACCCATCCACTCAAGCCAAAACCTGGAGAGTCTTCCCCTATATTTCCCCATTTCTGCAACCTCGTTTTTGAATCAGTGGCCAGCTCCTGTGCATTTTACTTCTTTAACATCTCACAGCTGTCTGCTCCCTTCTCTCCACTGGATCACAGCCGACAGTGGCCACCACAGCAGAGAAGTGGTGATCGCGGCAGGACAGCAGTTAAGAGACAGGTTTTAGCATCAGAAGACTTGGGTTTGAATCTGACAAGTTGCCCGAGCTATCTGAGCTTTAGTTTCTCATCTCATCTGTAAAGCTGGGCTAATAAAAATCTTCCTTATGGAGTAGTTGTATTCAATGAGATTTCAGATATACACACACCACTTAGTATAGTACTTCCCATATAGTACTAAAACAAATCTGTTAGGCCTTCCTTATATTTGCCTTGACTCTTACCTCATTGCTAGTCTCTCTGCCCCCCAGCAGTCTTGTCTACCCCTTGCCCATTTTTGACATTTCTATAGGGATGACATATCTAAAACAAGTCTTACTATGTAACCCACTTACTTTCAATCTTTTGGTGCAGATGTCTCAAGGCACTGGGTGGGTCAGCAAACTCACTCTTTCTTGCAGGCCCCAGAGAAATATCCCTTACTTCTTAGTGAGGGGTAGGAAATGTTCATCTGGCCAAGATTTGCCAGGGATAGAAGGCATGCTGGGAGATGAGTCGGGGGGTGTGGGGGAAGATCATCTCACCCCAAGGCCCAGAAGCATAGGTCATGCTTAGGATTGCAGCTGGAGCAGGAGAACTGAAAATGTCCCCTTGCCCCACAACTCTAGCATGAAATAATAGCAATCTACCACTGGCGGAAGGGCAACAGTGTGGGGAGAGAACCCCCCTGTGGCACAGGTATGTGTGTGTAGAGGCTGCTGAAAGCTCAGAGTATAAACACTGAGAAAAATCCACTGGTAACCTAGGCATCCACTAAGCATAAGGTAACAGCATCCTACCACTGGAGGAATTATTTGAAGACTGTGGCACACAAAGTAAATGTAGTGACAATAAGGCCAAAACCCAGCTGTTATTCAGTAGGCTGACTTCACTTCCCATGGCAGTGGCCTGACAAAAGAAGAGGGTACCCATCTCCAGGAGTGATAACTACATACCTCAGTCTCTACTGTTTCTCTGCAAATGATGTCTGGCATTCAATCCAAAACTTTTAGGCACATAGGAAAAAGGGCCGGGCACAGGGGCTCATGCTGTAATCCCTGCACTTTGGGAGGCTTAGGCGGATGGATTACCTGAGGTCAGGAGTTCGAGACCAGCCTGGCCAACATGGTGAAACCTCATCTCTACTGAAAATATAAAAATTAGCGAGATGTGATGGTGGGTGCCTGTAATCCCAGCTACTCGGGAAGCTGAGGCAGGAGAATTGCTTGAACCTGGGAAGCAGAAGTTGCAGTGGGCCAAGATTGCACCATTGCACTACAGCCTGGGTGACAGAGTGAGACTCCGTCTCAAAAATAAAAATAAAATAAAAAAAATTCAAAACAAAAAACCCATTGTCAAGTGATAGAAGTGATAGAACAATCAGCAGGACAAGCCTCAGAGGGGACCCAGATGTCGGAATAATGAGATATGGGCTTTAAAATAACAGTATGTGAAAGGGGCTGGTGGAAAAGATAAACAGCTTCTCTGAACAGATGAGGGGTTTTAGCAGAGAGATGGAAATTAAAGGAAAAAAGTCAAATGGAAATATAATATACAACATCATATATGAAAACGATATAAGCTCATCAGCAGACTGCTCACAGCTGAGCAAAGACTCAGTGAACTTAAAGATAAGTCAATTGTTACTCAAAGAGAATCACAAAGAGGAAAATAAAATGAAGCATCCAAAAGAGGTGAGATAATATCGAACCATCTAAAATAAGTGTAACTGGAGTCCAAGGAGAAAAAGAAAACCCTACTGTGGCTCCCCTCTGCGTAGAGAATAAAGCTCCAACTCCTCAGCATAGTATCCTTGTTCATGCTTGTCCTTCTTGCCAGCATTTTCCCCACAATTGCCTCTTTCCTAATCGCCCCACAGTCCCATCCTCCCTGAATAAACCATGCCATGGCACACAATCCAGCTCACACTATTCTCTCCTTTTGTGCCTTGTCTCCATCACCACAGATCACCTATCTCCAAAAACATTTTAACATCTCCCCCGTCGTACCAACAACTATCATCAGACGGGCACAAAAATAGATGACTTGTTGTTAAACTCAGCATAGTCTCAGCGCTGTGTCGATACAGGCCTCTGAAAGTAAGAATTAACTGCTTACTTCATTGCACACGCTTGCAGTATATCTATAGTATAATTTATGTGTGTTTATATACATTCATGCACTGCACATGTGTTTTCTGTTTATGCATATCATTTTCTTCTGAGCATTCTTAACATTTAAAAATTGGGGCCAGGTGTGGTGGCGCATGTCTGTAATCCCAGCACTTTGAGAGGCTGAGGTAGGCAGATCACTTGAGGTCAAGAGTTTGAGACCAGCCTGGCCAACATGGTACAACCCCATTTCTACTAAAAATACAAAAATTAGCTGGGCTTGGTGGCAAGCGCCTGTAATCCTAGCTGATTGGGAGGCTGAGGCAGGAGAATTTCCTGAATCTGGGAGGCGGAGGTTGCAGTGAGCCGAGATTGTGCCACTGCATTCCAGCCTAGGCAACAGAGTAAGACTCCATCTCAAAAATAAATAAATAAATAAAAATAAAAATTGGGAGATTTCATATAAAAATCTGGGTTCCTGGCTCTGGTTTGAAACAGGAAGCACAAACACCACAATTCCATCAGCAGCACAACCAACCAACTGGAGTTCTCAGTAGGGGCGGCCCCTTTACGTGGGGTGAGTGCTCTCCGTTTGGTTCAGTTCCCTTGCTTCCGACTGCTCCTGCCCAGCTCCCTTCTATGTATCCATGTGACCTGCTCATCTCTGTAGAGGCTGAGGGGTTTTGTTTTTTAATTCTTTTCAGAGGCCTGTATCGACACAGCACTGAGACTATACCGAGTTTAACAACAAGTCATCTGTTCTCATGCCTGTCTGATAATAGTTGCTTGCATGTGTGCCAAAAAATGGTCATACCACCCTATTATGGAAGCTGATGGGGAAGAGGCCTTTAGGCGTCGTCTACGTTGACCCACAGCAGACAGAGTTGTAAACAGCCACTTTGTATTGGGTTGGATTTGCGGCGTTTCCCCACTTGTGTGTGGAACACAGCATGTCTACCCACACCGGGGGCTCGAGGGGATATCTTGCTGGCTCAAGGGCCGTGGTTATGTGAACTCTGGGGCAGCACCTGGGTGCAGACATCAGCATGTTCACCTCTGCTTTGGCCTTGAACATCAGCCGGGGGGATGAGGGAAGAGACAGTGGGGACCTGGCGAGCATTTTTAAAAACTTGTGATAAAAAATACACAACACAAAATTTGTCAACTTTTTTTTTTTTTTTTTTTTGAGATGGAGTCTTGCTCTGTCACCCAGGCTGGAATGCAGTGGCGCGATCTTATCTTATTGTAACCTCCATCTCTCGGGTTCAAGCAATTCTCCTGCCTCAGCCTCCCAAGTAGCTGGGATTACAGGTGCCCACCACCACCTCTGGCTAATTTTTTGTATTTTCAGTAGAGACGGGGTTTCACCATGTTGGCCATGCTGGTCTTGAACTCCTGACCTCAAGTGATCTGCCCACCTTAGCCTCCCCAAAGTGCTGGGATTACAGGCGTGAGCCACGGCCCCCAGCCCATCTTAACTATTTTTTAAATGTAGTGTTTAGTAATGTTAAGTACATTCCCATTGTTGTGCAACAGATCTCTGTAACTTTCTCATCTTGTAAAATGGAAACTCTAAACCACTGAATAACTCCCCATTTTCCACTCTGCTCAGCCCCTGGTAACCACTATTCTACTTTCTGTTTCTATGAATTTAATTATTTTAGATACCTTATATAATTAATGTGCCATTTTTTGACCAGCTTATTTCACTTAACCTAATATCCTTAAGATTCATCTATATTGTAGCCTATGTCAAAATTTCCATCTTTTTAAAGGTTGAATAATATTCCATTGTATGTGTATGTCACATTTTGTTTTTCCATCTTATCTATTGATGGACACTTGGGTTGTTTCAGCCTCTTGGCTATTGTGAAAAGTGCTGCTCTGAAGATGGGTGTGCGAGCATCTCTTCAAGATCCTGCTTTTAATTCTTTGGGGTATATACCCAGGAGTGGGATTTCTGGATCTCATTTATAGATATAGTTATAGATATAGATATTTTTTGAGTTAGGGTTTCTGTTGCCCAGGCTGGCCTCGAACTCCTGAGCCCATGTGATCCTCCTGCTTAAGCCTCCTGATATGTTTAATTTTTTGAGGAATCTCCACACTCTTTTCCACAGTGACTGAACCATTTTACATTCACATCAACAGTGCACAGGGTTCCAATTTTTCCATATCCTTGTCAATATTTATTTTCTTGGTTTTTTTTCCCCCCTTTTTTTGAGATGGGGTCTTGCTCTGTCACACAGACTGGAAATGCAGTGTTATGTTCATGGCTCACTGTGGCCTCGACCTCCTGGGCTTAAGCCATCTTTTACACCTCAACCTCCTGAGTAGCTGGGACTATAGCCTGGCTAGCTTAAATTTTCTTTTAATTAGACAGGGTCTCCCTGTGTTTCCCAAGCTTGTATTTTTTCAAAAATAGTGGCCATCCTAATGGGTGTGGGGTGGTATCTCACTGTGGTTTTGGTTTGCAATGCTCTAATGATCAGTGATGTTGAGTATCTTTTAATATGGGTTTTGGCCATTTGTATATCTTCTTTGCAGAAATGTCTATTCAAGTCCTTTTCCCATTTTTTAAATCAGCTGCTTTTTTTGTTGAATATTGAAGTTCTTATATACCCTAGATATTAACCCCTTATCAGATATATGATTTACAATTATTTTCTTCCATCCTGTAGGTTGTTTTTGCCCTGTTGATTTTCGCTTTGAGACACAGAAATTTAAGTTTGATGTAGTCCCATTTATCTACTGCTTTTGCTGCCTATGCTTTTGGGGTCATATCCAAGAAATCGTCACCAAATCCAATGTCATAAAGCTTTCCTCTATGTTTTCTTCTAGGATTTTCATAGTTTTAGGGTCTTCCATTTCACTCTTTAATCCATTTTGAGTTAATTTTTGTAGATGGTGTAAGGTAAGGGTCCAACCTCATTCTTCTGCATGCAGAAGCATGTTGTGTTTTAACCCATTTTAGATCATCAGCTCTGTGAGAGCTTGAATTGTGTCTTATTTATTAGCATATCCTCAGATAGTCCTGGATACATAGTAGGCTGCTTAGTAAATGTTTTTTATTAAGTGATTGCATTGAAGAGACTGAGAAGATTGCTATGCTATACTTATAATTGTTCTTTTAAATGCACATAATAATTACTTTTTGACCATACCTAACGCCTAGTACTGACAGAGCAGTGACAAGATGGAATGACATTCAGACTCCAGCAAATGAAACAAAGAAACAGATACTTTAGACTTTTCATATTTAGATAAGTCTTTTTTAGTACACAGAATAATTAAGCCAAAGTTAAAAGCAGTCAGTGTTCCATCCAAACATGTCTCATACCCCTACTCTTAATACTGGTTCCAGGTATATCTACAATGAGTTTGGAAAGGGTGCCAGATCTCTCCTTTTGCTAAATATTTTACCTCCAGTAGCACATAAAAGAGGCCAGAGATATCTCAGCTAGATTTACATAGTCAGTACACTTCAGAGATCATAGTATGTCAAGCGCCTTTGAAATGTGGGCCTTTGATGTACAAATGGTAGCACCTTATATATGGCAGTGGAGGCCAGAAAGCAGCAGCCGCCCCCTTACCACCAAAGCTAAACAGATTCCAACCCAGAGTAGTTTCCTGTATTGGTGGTCCAGTCTGATTCACCACAGGCCTCGGAACTGGACTTTAATTTAAGGGTGAGAGAAAGCCTATTAGCTTTCTAGCTTCCCTACTAAGTCTCAATGGTGGGTACCACAAACACTGAAAGTTAAGAGAGAGAAGGAAATGGGTTTGGAATGTCCCCATTCAAAGGCTGGGTATGTTGCAAAAGCTTATTCATCCTCAATCACTCTCTGCTCCATCAAGGACCCTGGACAGCTCAAACCATGTTGTAAGCCAGATGGCAGCATTGGAGTAGCAAGCTTGCAAGGCATTTATTAAGCAAGACAGCCAGTGGCTCCCCTGCTCCTACAGTTGGTTTTGTTCTAGTGATCTAGAGCCTGGAGTTGACTTCCTCCAGAGAAGCAAAGCAAGAGCATTCTCTTAGAGGAGGGTGGACAGCACCGTGCTAGGAAGCAGTTTATAAGGAGGGACGCCAGTCTGTTTAGAAGCAGCCAGAGGGTGCCTGTGTGAAGCATTTGCTGGAGAAAACTCCACCATGACCCAGAGTACCTCAGGCCAAGGGAATGAACGAAGAAAAACCAAATCCTGAACCGTCTTATTCTCTGGACGGACTGAGATCCAGGCTTGTGTTTGAAGAGTTCAAGACATAAGTGGAGAGGAAACACACCGACCCTCTGTGAAGAACTCTGACCTTTTGTTCTTGCTGACTTTCCAACTGAAAATCCACCTGTGTCTTTCCTCTTTGGGCAAATTCTATCAGTCTCCCACGTCCAGATCAAACCTAAATGCCGCTGACCATTGCAGGCTACAGTGCTCACTCCCTACCAGCTCCCACAGCAGGAAGCATCTGTGCACTTACCTGGAGGGCATGTGGATACTGTTTTATTTATTTGCATTGGCTCTATATGTCTGGTCTTCCCAAGTAGGATGTCAAGAGGTCATTCATAACACCTAGCACACTGCTAAGCAATGATAGCCAGGGATAAGGCACTCAAAGGTTTAGAATCATTTGCTAACATTAATGTCATTTCCCTTACCAGTGTGGAGAAAAAAATCCATTGCTCTATCTATGGAGGTACTCAAAATATAAAATAACTTGGAACTATTTTTTTAAGTTCTCATTGTATATTTCCCGATGAAATGATGTTTGGAATTTTCACCCAATTAATAAGTGTGAATCTTCAGGGACAGCATACTGAATGAAAGAAGCTGAAAGTATACATTCACAAGAACATATATATATATAAATTAAAAGATTCCAGTGATACGGGGTTCTAGAACAGGTGAGACCACAGTGAAAGAAAGCAGCTCAGTGTCTGCCTAGACTGGGTGTTGGGGAAGCGGACACGTGCACATAGACACAATGGAGATTTCTGGGGTGATAGAAATGTTCTATATCTTGAAATGTAGGATAGGAGTTAGATGGGTAAATACATTTGTCAAAACTTGAACTGTAATTTAAACGAGTACATTATCTATCTGTATGTCAATACAGTTGACTTGGAAAAACGTATAGCTAGGTATAAAAATAAATATAGGCATAAATATGCGAACAAATAAGGGAAGGTAGAAGGAAGACTGGGGAGTAGCAGGAAGAGGCTGGCTCTGAGTTGTTAGAATTGGGCGAGGAGCCCCGAGCAGGGGGGCTTCATAATACTGTTCCATTTTTGTATATGTTAAAATTTTTCCAGAAAAAAGTTTAAGATGGTTTCCATTTTTTTTTTAACTTAAAATGATTTTTAGGAATCTTAACCAATCCCAGGACAATGACCTTTTTCTCCCAAATTGCTATCGGCTATGAGGGTTTCTCAGGCTTGAGGGGCTATTTCCCAAGGTCCTGTCATTGCATGGGTGTGTGGCAGCCCTATGGACACCTGCCTCGTTTCTCCTCGATGGAAGCTGGAGAACACTGTCCAGCCCCCAGCAAATGTGAGCTTTTGGAAGGCTTTTTCTGATGGTGATCACCCTCCTGTGCCCTCCTCTACACTCACCGGGTGGGCCCTGGCCCCCCGGCAGGCCAGGAGGTCCAGGAAGGTAGGCGTTTGAGGCCAGCACCTTGTCACCGGTGATATACTTGCCCAGGTCAGCTGCATTGTTGGGGAGCAGCGCAATCTGCAAGGAGAAGAGGAAGCCTCGGTCAGGAAGCAATGGCAGGGGAGAGCCTCAGCATTTGTCTTGGTGGTAGAAGCTGCAAAGCCTTTTCATGAGACATATGTATATACTTTTTACTAGAGCTAGTTAGAGCTCAGAGAAACCATAAACAGCCTCTTTCTAAACCTAGAGGCCTTCTAGGGCAAACAACTTGCACGACGTTACTCAGCTAGTTAGTAGGTGAGCTTAGATACGCTCCAGATGGCCTACATATCACTAGAACTCATTACCACCACAATTAATAGGATCTACTTATTTCATACTCTCATTTGTTAATTACCTATTTTATGTCTCAAACATTTATTGAACACCTACTATGTGCAGGTCCTGTGCTTGGTTCTATGGCTACAGTGGTGACCAAGACATGGTCCCTGCCCTTAAAGAACTCTCAGCCTTGGGAGCCGGGACCGAGAATGTGGCTGACGGTTCCCCTGCACACCCGGAGCTGACCTTCAGTATAACTGGGCAACAGTGACTGTGGTGGTTGTAAAACGTGTCCACAAATTCTTTGACACTTTGTGATCATGTGAGTCAGTTCTCCTTAGTAAACTCCCTTTCATATATACGGCTGCCCCATTAGTTCTGTCTCTCTAAAGATCCCTACTACAATTCCCCTGTGACTGTCACTCAGAATTCAGTAAGGATGACTGTAAGAATCAAAATCTTGTGCAACCTGAAAGTCAGCTTTGTACAATTTCAAGTCAGGGCTCATGATTCAGAGTCACCACTGTGTTCCTGGGATACATTTAAAATGGTGCTGACATCATTGTGTCATAGCAAGAGACCACCACAACCTGTAAGTGGGTACCTGTGGCCCTGGGGAGGAAGAGGAGTGAACCAGTGAATGAGGGAAATGGATCAGTCAATCTACTGCAACCATGAGGCAATGGGTCAACACTGGCAGCTGAAGCCTGATGCAATTTTATCATCTGCTTCCAACTGAGACACTGAAACATGGATCCCACCCTTGGGCGTTGGCATGAGGCAGACTTACCTTTAAACCTCAGCCCTGCCACGTTCTACCTGTGGAATCTTGGGCAAGCTACACAGCCTGGATTTTCTCATCTATAAAATGGGGATGGTAACGGCCACCTAGAAGCGCTGCTGGAGGGTTAAAGTGATGTTGTGTTTAACGTGCCTGACTCAGTGTCCAGCCATTGTCATAGACCCAGCAGAAATACTGTCTGGGGGCCTAGTCACTGTGGCTCATGCCTCTAATCCCAGCAGTTTGGGAGGCCAAGGCGGGCGGATCACTTGAGGTCAAGAGTTCGAGACCAGGCTGGCCAACATGGTGGAACCCTGTCTTGACTAAAAATACAAAAATTAGCTGGGTATGGTGGTACATGCCTGTAGTCCCAGCTACTCGGGAGGCTAAGGCAGGTGAATCGTTTGGACCCAGGGGGTGGAGGTTGTGATGGGCCGAGATCGCACCACTGCACTCCACTTCAGCCTGGGTGACAGAGGGAGACTGTGTCTCAAAAAAAAAAAAAAAAAAAAAAAAAAAAATGCTGAGGGCTGCTCCTGGCTTTTTTCCTAAGTAGCTGTGTGACTTTGGTAAGTCCCTTCATCCTTCATTTTCAAGTCTACAAAATGTGCGGCTTCAACCCATGATCAAGTCTTCATATTTAAAATTTTGTAAACAGAACCTCAGGATGAGACCTGCACACAGATGGGTTCCAGAGATGCTCCCCTGTTCCCCACCTATTTCCCCCAGTCCTCTTTGCTTGGTTTGGCCTCTTGTAAAAGTTACGAGGTAAGGTGGCAAACGCTGCCCTCAGTGTCCCGGCAGACCTCCTGCTGGGTGGCTGCATCCTGGCGCCCTTCAGCCCCTCTGTGCGGTAGCAGAATGAGTGCAGAGTGAAGGCACTGCTACTTTAGAGGTGGCTGTCCAGAATCTCTGGCCCCACTTTCTGCATAAACACAGCAGAAGATGGGCTGTGGGATGCTAGGAGTTTGGGAGGAAGGTTGTAGTAATGTAAAAAGAGTCTGCATTTCCCCTGGATTCCAGTCAATGGAATTATACGTATCATTTATCTCATACTAGCCTTTTAAGAGAGCTTCTGCCTCAAAGAGCCATTGGGATGAATCCGTGAGATGCCTCTTATAAAGCATTTTGTAAAGAGTGCTAATAAATAATATTTTTACTTGCTAAACATTTGTAGAGCTCTTTCTAGATGGATGGCACTGTTCTCAGTCCTTTGTGAATATTTACATTTGATTATCATAAAATCTTTAGGCAGTAGGTATTAATGTTGTCCTTTTTAAAAAGTAGAACTGAGTCACAGAGAGGTTAAGTAACTTACCCAGAGTCACACAGCCAGCAAATGGTGGGTCTAGAATTTAAACTTAGCCAATCGGCTTCCAGAATCTGTGCTCCTAACCACTAAACCAAGTGGCAACCTACAGTCACTTTAAAAATTTTTTTTTCAAGACAGAGTCTCACTCTATCACCCAGGCTGGAGTGCAGTGGTGTGATCTCAGCTCACTGCAACCTCCGCCTCCCAGGTTCAAGTGATTCTCCTGCCTCAGCCTCCCGAGTACCTGAGATTACAGGCTCCTGCCACCACACACAACTAATTTTTATATTTTTAGTAGAGATGGAGTTTCACCATGTTGGCCAGACTGGTCTCAAACTCCTGACCTCAAGTGATCTGCCCTCCTTGGCCTCTCAAAGTGCTGGGATTACAGGCATGAGCCACTGCTCCGGGTCTACAGTCACTTTAACATGGATTCCCAATAATCCTGGGAAGACCCATTTTACCAGCAGCAGAGGAAACCACAAATTATTGAGAAGCCATATAACCGCCTGAGGCAAAGGTGGCGCTAGAGCGAGCAAGTGCAGCCATCACGCTGCAAATCTACTCACTTGAAATCTTAGGGGCCTCTATATTCTCAGGCCTGACTGTTGGCCCTACTCCATTCGGCCATCGTTTGCTGATTTAACACCGTTGGCACGGTTTCCCCACAAGACAGTAAGTGCCAGGCCTCTCTTTCTGGAGTCTCCCTTCCCAGGGGGACTCTCTGCAGCAATTTGACTCTCAAATCCGATAGCCCCTGCTGCCAGAACACAAGCAACTTAAAAAAAAAAAAAATGGAGAGGAGAGTTGGCTCTTAATTTTAAGTGCTCTTGTGGGACAGAGACCCATCTGACAGGGAAATGACAGGCATCTCATCTATCCCCGCACTGTCCCTTTCTCACCACATCACTTGTTTTCTTCCCACACCACAGAAGAAGTGGTGGAGGTGGAGGCACTGAGGTCTATACAGCATTTAAAAACATGTTTTTATTGCAAAAATAAAGCAAAGAACCTGGAAACCTCACAACACAAATATATCACTTAGCAAACTGTTATAAAGCAAGCACCCCTTTAGGTGCAGCAAACCACCATGGCACACATTTAACCTATGTAACAAACCCGCCCAGCCTGCACATGTGCCCCAGAACTTAAAAATGAAAGTAAGCACCCTTTTAAAGAACTCCCGAATCAATCAACAGAACTTTGCCAGCCACCCCAGACTCCCTCCTTCCACGTGCCCTATCCCAATCAGTCTCCTCTCTTCCCCAACAAGTCACCACTTTCCTTTTACAGTAATCACTTCCTGTGTTTTTAAAAATAATGTATCACCCAACTGTGCATACCTAGACATTATGGCTTAGCGTTGCTCATTTGAAAAGCGATAGGTCTTTTAAGTTTCCTGTTATCTGCAGACTGCCAGAACCCAGGGCATGTGACCTGTTGTGTTCCCCACGGTTGGAACGCTGCCGACTGGACATTCGTGATGTGGTTCAACGTGTTTAAACAGCATTTTATGCTGTGGGGTTGGCCATGGTCTAGGACTGCTGGCATTTCCTTCTTGGCTAATGTTTATTTGGGCAGATGTCCTATGTTCTTTTGTGAACAAATGGCATTAGCAGCAGCAAGACGACATTAAAAACCAACTGACAGGCCGGGTGTGGAGGCTCATGCCTATAATCCCAGCACTTTGGGAGGCCAAGGTGGGTGGATCACAAGGTCAGGAATTCAAGACCATCCTGGCCAACATGGTGAAACCCTGTCTCTACTAAAAATACAAAAAAATTAGCC